CAGTTCCTTGGATTTGGATCGCCCAAGAGCTTCCATTTCGAGATGGTAGTACCAAGATTACAGGTGATATACCCAACCAATCGTCAAATAATTGTTATCGAAACACAGGCCTATTTTTCTAAAATCGTCTTCGGTGGGATTTGAACTCTAGATCTGCTGCTTGAGAGGTGACAACTTAACCACTACTCTAAGTCACCACACCCTTAATATATTATCTTTATTATTTTTTTTTTCTGTTTTGTTTTTCTTTTATATGTTTTTTGGTTTTATTTGATTAGGTGGATCAAAATTAGATGTCAAAATATTACACTTTTTTTTTTTTTTGCCCTTTGATTTTGTATTTGTACTTTGTTTTGTAAAAAGAAAAGATAATACTAATATGACAGTGGCACCAGCCAATGATTAAAAGATTCATATCTCTAGAAAGTTAAGGACCCAAAGAAAGACAAACAGCCACTAGGCAATATCACACCTGGGCTTTTAAGTCGAGTGAGTCACTTGTTGTAGTTAAAGAAGGATTAACTATAGTTAAAAATTCTTGTAATTTATGCTTGATTACTATTTTAATAAAACAGTGCTAAAGAAAAAAAAAATAAGTAAATAAAGAATTATTAGAAAAACAAAGTAAAAAAAAACCAATTAAATTATAGTTATATTAGGTCTCCTTCAACCTATCCTAGCTAGTTAATTATTTAGAAATATTTAATTATAATAATTATAGAAAATAGAGGGTATAATGTCACATTGGGTGCCTAATTTAGTAGCACAAATGTAGTTTTAAATCTTTGAATGTAGTATTCTTCTACTTATAAATAAAGTTTTTAACTATGACATTTAAAAAAAAAAAAAAAAAAAAAAATTACAGTTATAATATCAATTGACTAGCAGATTTTTACTATATAAAAATTAATTGTACCACAGATCATATGAAAAATAACCTACCTTTAATACATGATGTAATTCTTGCAAATTGTATAAAATGTCATTCGCATATTTAAGCATATCTTTTGCATATTTTTATTGGCCAAAAAGCATACATGCGATCACCCTGCTTAAGGAGAAGCATATTTTTAATGATATAAAAGATTTCGCGTTCAAACTCAAATAATTTGTATAAAACAATTAATATCTAAATTCCTTGCTTGCATATTTCACGATTTAAAGCTATATTGATTTAGCAAATGGCAAATTCTGAACGAGGTGGAACGATTAGAGACTATATTGAAGCTCGTAAAAAAGGTGGAATGACATGGTAATGCGGTGTTTGTATAATTTCTTTAAATGCTTTTATATTTCTACTCCTCATTTTTGTTCTCACTATTTCCCGTATTGTTTGCTCATCTTTGAGGGACGAATTTCGCAAAATCAGATCAGAAACTAAGGGTCCTGAAGTTTCCGATTTTGAACTTATCAAATATCGCAAAAAATTGGACGAAGAAAGAGAAGCAAAATTGAAATATGCTTCATCCACCAACAAAAAGAAAAAGAAACATAGTCGCCGTGAACATAGAAGAAAAAGTGTATCAAGGAGTCGTAGTAGAAGTCGTAGTAAAAGTAGAGATAGGAGTGACAAAAGTGATGATATGACTAAAGAACGTATAAATATCGATCGTGAATTGAAGGTTCGCTTTCATTATATTAAATTTCTTATTTACACATTAAATATTCTAGTTCGTTAGAATGGATTAAAATGTTATAGTATTATTTACGAATTGTTAAATCCATTTTAAAAGAATTCAATTTCATTTATTAAATAGGACAAACATCATAGTAAGGAAAAACATCATAAATCAACGAAACGTAGGTATAGGAGCTCAGAGGAACGTTCCTCATCAGATTCTGATCATAAAGGACGCGATGATCACCATAAAAAACATCATGGCCATCACAGTCATTCGCATAAGGTTTGATAATTTTATAATATTCGTATATTCGTTGTATTCTGATCTAATTCATATTATTTTTAAGAAACATAAACATAAGATTAAAGAGGAGGAACATCGTGGAGATACACCTGTACGATTATCAGAGTTTCTTAAACATGGAAGTAGTAGTTCAGATGAATAACAATTATGAAAGTTTAGCGTCTATTTATCAAAAGAACTATAATTAATTTAAAATAAGGCTTGTTTTTAACCAATAAACCATTTTTGAAAAATTTTTTTTTTCCCTTTTGTTTATTAGCTTTTGGCATTCCAAGATATATCGTGAAAACTTACAAATTATTAAATATGCCAAATTTCTTAAAATCTCTCTTCATATGATGTAAAAAAAAGAACTACACTAATCAAAAACATTTCATTAGCCTACCGCGATGATTGAAGGTATTGAATGAAGGATGTGTGTCAATTTCATCAATCGTCCTAGTTTCGTTCGATTCGACAATTTATCAAAAGGATTGTTACCAATTAGAATCAATTAAAATAAAAATTAATGAACTTACTTTTTTGATAACTCATGTTTAATCAAAATGGGTTTCAAAGGGCCTGCCGCCAAAATTATGCCAATAGTACAAATTGACACTGATACAAGACATTCTACCGTAATCTTTATCATTTTAAATATAATATACATATATGTATAAATAATAATAAAAAAGGTTGATTTGATTGATACTAATTGAATATGTAAATTTCGAAAAGGGATACCTCTATTGGCATATAATTTGGTATTTTATCAACGGCCTTAAGGTAAGATAAATCTAATTTACATTGATAGCAGTAAAACAATTAGAAAAAGTAGCGTGTTTAATAAAACAAATACAGAATGTATTTTTTTACAAATTATAATATAAACCTACGCTCATAAGTAGAATAAGCAGAATGGAAGAGTAATAAGAAGCCTATCCAGCCCAAAATCTTTTCAACTTTGACTGTAGACATGCTTTTCTCGGTCTACTTATAACAAAATTTTAAAGATGTACATTTAAATATATAAGTTTTCGACCTCTTACACGTGTAACAACGATTACGGCGGGGACATCAATAATGAACCCTTTTTTGGCAACGTCCAAACGTTTAAGCATGTTTAATTTTCTATAACACTAAGCCTTCTCTACAATCATCTATGTAATGGCAATGGATTATGGTTTAAAGTTATAAATTATATTAAGATTATAGTTCGAATTTGAAACATTTACAGTAGATTCTGTAAATATACGGTGCCTAACAGAAGTTTCCCCACACCTGTAATTTCCGATAGTTCATATACATTTCGTAGTAACAGGGGAGACCGTTCCAAATAAGGGGGTCGTCTAAAGCCGTGTCCATCACGTGACCTAAAGCCAATAGAATTGTTTATTTTGATCGACACG